ATAGGTCGGTATTCCTTGTTTTTTCTCTATTTTCTTGTATTTACTTCTCAGTGATCAAGTGGTCCTCCTCCATGCTTATCATCGAGATTGAAAAGAACAGTGATAAAATAAGCATAAAATATTATCATATTTTTTCCAGAATCAAGAAACACTAGGAGAATAATATCATTTGATATCCTTACTTTTGCTTTTAGTTTTCTACGTTGAACCAAACATCTGGAACCTTTTGCAGTGTGCTTGGTACAGTGGAATGAATTATTGGAGAATGAGAATAGACATGTGAATAATAACGTTAATATATTGTTTAATATCTCAAGCATTACTTCTTCAATCTCATTTATACAGGACACATTTTAAAAATTTATTTAATTTTATTTATAAATTATAGTACAGCTTTTCAAACAATATATAAAAAATATTTTTAAAATTATTTTTATAAAAGAACAAAAATAATATGACATTATTTTTTAAATTTTTTTATATAAGAACGTGTTTGAAAATTTTATATTAATATTAATAAAGTTAATAAAAGTGCATAAAGAGATCGCAAAGCATATGTTAAACTAATGCAAGGACATTTTTAAATTATCATATTTGATAGAGTAGAAATATAATAAGAATGTAAATGATATAACAACAATTGACCAAATTACCCTTCACAATAATATTATTCAACTAAAGAACCTGGGCAAATTTGGAATTGTGCACTGATGTCCAGAGTGAACAGTAACATTCCACCAATTTGTTAGAGGATTTTTCTCTAGTAGATAAGCAATGTAATATAATTCATTCATATATTACTATTTCACTATTTTTTTCTATCATGCACATACATTCTTTTATTGAAGTCAGATCCATTTGAGATACTATCAAGTATTAAATTTAGTCATCTCTTCTAGTAATCCTTTGTGTTAGTTACTATTCTACTGTTTATTTATCCATTTCAGTCCATTCAGTTCCTATGGACCAAACATGCAAGGTTTTGGCAACATTGTTCACGGGCCATGCCAGGGATATTTGTACCAAATGATCCGCTTTTAAAAATAACTACAAATCTTGCACCCCAAAAATAATTAATTTAATTTGCTGCCATATTGTCTCAGAACCTGAACAAAATTTGACCCGTTGCATTATGCCACATGAAGTATTAGAATGACAAGTAAGGAATCATAAAAATATTAATATCAAATTAAGATATTTTTAATACTAATATTTCCAAATTCAATACTCCTTCTCCCATATTCTAATACTAAAGCTCTTAATTTAATATTAATTTTTTTGATAAGGTGGTTACTTGTCATTTTCCTATATTGTCATTCGCCCATGTAAGGTAGAATATCTGTGGCATGGGTGCATTAGATTAAATCAAAAAAAAAAGAAAAAAAGAAAAAATCCAATGACTCTTTTTAACCAATCTTTTTTTATAGTAAAAGAGCATATTAGTCTCTAAATTCAAGAGTATTTGAAATTTTAAACTCATTTTTTATATAATATTTTCTTTTAATTTTTAAGAATTGTACAATCTCACATTTACTTAACTATTAATTGATCAGAAAATGATAAAAAAAGATAAAAAATTGCAATAAAAAACTCAAAAATTATAGAAAGTGATAAAAAAATTATTTTTTTGTGTAAATTTTGATGTTCTTCTCTGTTTTTTTGATCAACTAATAGTCAAATTTAATTTTTATCAACCATGGAGGCTAAATTACATTGTTTTCAGAAGTTAAATGAGTACATTGTATAAAAAAAATTAAAGATTTCAGGCTCCCCTAAATCTATTGTTTAGGGATTAAATTGCTCTTTTATTCTTTTTTAATTATTGCACTAGTTAAAATATTAGTTCGAAAATTCATGATCCAAAATGGTAGTTGGGTTCCAAAATATTCCATGACAAGAATTTCTAAAAATAAAAATAAGTTGTAAATATTGATTCAAATAATTACAAATTAAAATTCTAGTTATAACATGAAACTTAATTTGAAATTTAAATATTTTGTTAGTTAATAATTGAAATCTCTACATTTATAATTATCTAAATCAATGTTTTCAATCAATTTTAAGAAAATTCTGTCAAGCACTTAGTTGTTATTAATTAAATATTTTAATATCTAAATGCTATTATCCCTTAATTAATAATAATCAAGTTTTTTCATCATACCAATAATAAATTAATAACGCTTAACAAACTTAATATATCTTCAATCCTACACACACAACTAGAGACAGCCGCATGCAATGCACGGGTTTTCCAATGTATCGCGAGCAAAAATACATCTTCACACTACATTGATCAAAGTGAGTGTAATTTTTTTTTTCCACAAAGTGAGTGTAATTTGTTACTAAGAAATGTTTGATCAAAGAGCATCCCATGCTGTTGTGATTTTTTTTTTATGTAACATTGTCCATAATTTAAAGGTTGAAAGGCTTGATTCTCTGAAATATTTATTTGGACACAACATTAGTAGTTGTCGCCCTTGGTTTCTTATCATCACCATCCACCAAAATCTCAAGGCTATCAATAATTCCAACGCTTGACACTGCCACATATGGTGGACCACGTGCGTGTGAGCACTACTAGTCTTGGCAAATAGAGTCAAAGTTGTTTGTAACTATTGACTTTGATTTTTATTTATTATTATTGCAAAAGAAAGTATAATTAAGAATTATCATTTTTGCATGCAAGAAATCACCTATTTTAATGAGTTTATGTTCATTATGCGCAGAGGTTACTTATATTTTTTGAGAGTCAATTTGATAAAATAAAAGTTAGATGGATTAAATATAGTAAAAAAAAAATTTTAACTATATAATTACCAAAATGGACAATTATTTTACTACACTGTTTTGAACTTCTAAAATGATATATAGAGTGAAATAAAGAAAATCTCCTGAAATACATATGCTTTCTAGTGTTCTATACAATTCACTTTCGAAAAAAATTGACCATCCCTTTTACAAGTCATTTTAGATGGAAAGATAAAGCATTAATTATTTTTGTAAATGACTAGAGTGAACGATTACATATAAAAATATTTTTTAAAACAATATATTTAATAAATATAAATTAAATTATTTTAAAAACCAATGTTTAATTTTTTTTCTTAATTTTAGTAGAATTAATTTATGTTTTGACACTTTTGCAATTTTTTTAAATATTTAATCTAAAATATATGAAGAATTATTTATTGTTAATTATTAATTATATTCTTCTTATAATAGGCACTGTCTTCCTGCTTTTAATAAAAAGTGAGGACTAAAATATTTCATTTAAACCATCTTATTAGGTGCTAAGCACAAGCCTAGTGTTGACCCCTACCCACCCGCACCTGAATTGTTGCGCTATCTTCACGCTACCTACCTCATTCATCCCGTCCGACAGAAGTGTCTCGGTTCTTGGGTCCTCATTCCACCTAATTAAATTGTAGTTATCGGTTTTGGGTTCTTTTATTATTTTGAGGAATTCAAAACCACTCCAAAAATTTATTTATAAGTAATTCTCTTTCTATTCAAAATTATAAAATATTTTTAATTAAATTTTATTCTTAATAAAATAATTATTTATTTTTAAATTAATTTTATTTTTTATATTTATTTTCCTTAAATACTTTATAATAAATATAAATCATTATCAATGAGTGCATTTTTAAAAAAAGAAAAATAATTATATCTTAAAATATTAAAAAATGCCTTATATTTTTAATGGAAGGAGTAACTTATAATAGTTTTTATTTAAAAAAAATTTATATTTCTATTTTAATAATTTTTACATTTGTCTTTATTTGTGAATAATTTTTTTGAATGGTCCTTAAATATGATTCTTTCTACTATTATTTTAGTATCACAAAAAAAAAATATTTACATGCCTAAAATATCTTTTCAATTTTTTATAATAAACTATCTAAAACATTTTAGAGGTTGAAACATGGTGCTCCGAACTTTTTAAATTTCATATTTCTCACAATCAAAATGATTAAATGATTTTATATATTACGTTATTTTTCTATATATCATTAACCTTAATATTTGAGGTTAAATTTTGGCCAACAAAATTGAAGTTTGAAGAATCTTTAGAATGTTGAAGGAGAAAACATAGGGTCATTTATTCTATTTTTTTTTTTTTGGCCAATAGCGCCATCTATTTTTTAAAGAGTTCATTTGTGAAAAAATATAAATTAAATTAAAAAAAGAAGCATTTAGCCCTGTATTTTTTATTCTTTTTTTTTAGTTTAGCTTGTTCAATTTAATGTGTCATATTTCATCCATTTAATTTGTTGGTCTTTAAACTTTTAAAAATTATAGGAAAAACTAACAGACTGCTTAAATGATTACAACTTTAAAAATTCGTTGAACCAAGAATTTAGATTCTGAATTATAACAAAATAAAATTTTTTGAGACCGAAAGATAATTTTTTTTGATTAAATTAAAGAAAGAATCATAACTAGCTCTCACATTAAAAAATAATTATTATAAAATTGATTACCTACTGAACTAAATTTAAAAAAAATCTTAAAAAGATTTCTTGAAAAGACAACTTCAAATAACAGTGTCATTGAGAGCCTTATATTAATATTACATGAACGAGTATCGATCAGTTAATATTAATATTTAAAATGAAATATCTAATTTGAACATTATGTAAAAACATAATATGTTACATTATTTTGGCGAAAGTAATAAATTTGATCGAGGATTATTTTTTTAGAAACATTTGATAATTAGAACTATCAAATGGTGTGAAATAAATTATCAATTTTAAAAAACAAAATGTAACACCCTCAAATTTACAGACCGATTTTTCGCAAATTATTAATTTAACAAATCCTTTTTTTTATTTTTTTTCATTGAACCCTTATCATACCCTTATCATGGTAGAAAAATTTCTACCATGATACATCCAAGACAATATACCACAGGTCTTAAAATATCTCAAAAAGCAATTAGAACCATGAGGAACAGACATGATCCTCATAGTATGTTATTCAAATTAGGTCATGAATCAAAAGGGATAGACATAATCCTCTTGGACATATAAATGCATTTAATAAAAAGGATTAGAGTTTACATGCTCCATAGACAAGATATATCCTAAGTTGGCACAAGATACATTGTATAATCCAAAATAAGAGGCAACGTAAAAGATGGTGTCTCATACACCATAATTACACCTCTGGTGCTTTCTCGGCCGGATTCGCTCCTGTAAAAATATTAACCACGGGGAATGAGACTTAAAAGTCCCAGTAACCAAAAATTAATATGTAATGATGCATGCGGATGTAACTAATCATGCGATTGCTAAGTGGGCACACAAAACATTTAACCGAACAATACTTTCAAACAAACCGAACAAATATTTAATTTGCATGACTGCACCTTATATCCTCCTTTCGTCATGGTCGGACGCCAAATCACCCGGCCAAAGGTGAGTTGGACCAAGCGACACGCCACTCATTGGGTCCAACGAGGGCTTACCACGTGGTAATAATTAACCGAACAGAAATTCCCATTAACACCATACATTAAAATACCCTGACAAGTCATGCATCATTCAAATATCCAAACAGGAATATATCCGAACAATAATATCTCATCATGATAAACAAAAATAAATTTTTAACCCACTTGGCAATAATTTCAAACAAGTATATACAGTATTTATTTTCAATAATTCATAATTTTTCCAAACAACAAAACAACACATAACCATCACAAATACACCCATCACAACACATTAATAATGGTTACCTTGTGTCTTGAACAACAAGTTCCCCTTCACAACTCCTTTTTCACCACTATCTTTGTCAATATAATCTACATAATTATTTCACAATACTATATATTAATTTTACATTAAAATAAATAACTCTAATTTAAAGAGTTAGAAAGTCTTAAATCTATAGTCCATATTAACACTAATTTAAGATTTATGCCTCATTTAACTTCTCAAATTCTTTTCTAAAATTCTCGTACCCTAATAAACTATTTTTTTTATCCTCAAATCACTTCTAGTATCACAATTTCATCCTTCTATATTCTAAAAATTCGTCCAAAAATAAATTAAATTTTTAAAATTATCCTGAAGCCTCAAATCACCTTTCTATAACCTCAAAAATACCTATTCATACTTAAATAAATATTTAATAATCATAGGTTTATCCCTACATCTCAGATTCCACATAAATACAACCATATAGATCTAGATTTTAACTCAAAAATTCTTAAACATGAGTTTCAACCTCAAGAAAATATTCTATAATATTTATTATATCCCTAAGAGTTTTAACCTATATTTTTAATCCATCATATCATCAGATTTACTATCCTATAGAAAAAAATTCTAATCAAAATATTTACTCTATCCTACAAAATAATCATATCACTAGAAAGCTAATATTATTTAAAAAATAACTATAAAATTAATTTTGTAATTAAATAAATTTTTAAATGCTAATCTAAACAGGAAAGTTAGAACATACCTGAAGAAAAAAGAAAATAATCCCCCCTTGCGAGAAAACGCCGAGCAACGTGAGAGGAAGAGAGAAAAATAATATAAAAATGGGATTGTGAGTCCCAAAATTATATTAAAAAAAAACTATAGGTTTGAATTTAATTATTCAAACCTTTGGGCCCAAAGTTGCAATTTTCTCTAAATTGCATCTTAGCCTCTCATGCTTCCTAATGCACACACCCCCTCCTTTTTATACATGAAGGCACCTCTTCTCTTCCCTCATCTAACCAATGTGGGACTTAGAAACAACAACCTTCCACCCCCCCTTTTTTTTTGTTCCTTCTACCTTCTCTTTTTTTTTAACACACACATAAAAAAAATTATTTATGTATTATATCTTAACTAAATATTGCTTATGTGGTTTTAAATTTAAATTTTTAAGTTCATAATTAAATACCTAATCATAATATTATTTCTAAATAACCTCAAATAATATAAATTCCTATTATTATCATTTTTTTCCTCAAAACCTAAATTCCACAATTTCTTTATTATATAAAAATCAGGATGTTACACAAAACATTCAGTAGTTTACCGTTAACTTTAATCGACAGACGTTATATGAAGCCCGCAAATGGCTTGTGGCATTTCACGTCAATATGTGCAAACATGTAAATTTAGTTATAAATTATTTTTCTAAGAGTACTGAAAAGCCTTTCATATAAAAAATGAAACATCTAATGCCTTTTCATCAATTTTGACTAAACATTGTTTATTTTCATACTCACGAGATCTATAACGTGTCAATCTCTTTAATCTTTTAATCATAGTTTCTTCTCTTAGTTCAAGAAAAAGAGGCTTAAAGAGTTTTCATTTAAAAACATTCACAATAACAATGCTGATGAAGTAGAAACTTGATTTTATTATGCATGGAAGAAGCTTGATTCTAATTTAATTTAACCATAAATTATTTCTTCTATTTTGTTGGCATTATCTTTATAAATGTCTTCAAATAAGAACTCTTTAAACTCCTTCTTTTTGATCTGAAATTGAGAACGAAAGTAAGAAAATTGAAAAGATTAACTTATAGTGGGTCTCATAAGTTTGACAATAAATAATGTTTGGTCAAAATTAAGAGGAAGATGCTGGACAATCTGTTTTTTATAATAGAGACTATTCAGTGCTATTTAAAAAATAATTTGTAATTAAATTTATACCTTCACATATCATTTGTAACCTCACATAAGATTCATTAGGTGAATTTAATAGTGACTTACTAAATATTTTATTTTTAAAAATTAAAAATTCATTAGGTGAATTTAATAGTGACTTACTAAATATTTTATTTTTAAAAATTAAAAATTTATTTTACATCATTTAATAATTTAAATTATCAAATGCTTATAGGAAAAATAAATGACTAAATTTACATCTTTATTCAATTATTTTCATGCAGGAGACATGTGAGAAGGAAGGAGGGATGAAGGTGAACGAGAGGAAATTGCGACACAATCGCATCCTCGTGAAAGCGAGTTGTCATTCTCATTCGATGTCCTTTCCAAATAATCTTTGTGTTAAAAAATATAAATCAAAATATTTTTTATAAATTTACATATTTAAAAATATAAAATATTTTTAATATTTTAAAATATAATTATTATATTTTTTAAAATATTTTTAATAAATAAATTATTTTATATTTATTTTAAAATAAAATATTTTATTAAATATAGGTAAATATAAAAAAAAGTATTAATTTTAAAATATAAAATTTAATTAATAATATTTTATATTTTTTAATAGAGGGGTAAGGTTGCACTCTGCGCTCCGTCGGAGGCCCAAGCTTGCCTCCTCATTTGTACGGATCATTGATACCTGCATGTTTACCATTTACATAGCTCGGGATTGGAATTCAACGGCACATTAAATGAAGCATTTTTTTTTTTTTTAGTTCACAAGGAATGGGAATTTTAATTAATTCCAATTTAATATGTATTTTGTATTTATATAACATCAACATTTTTAGAAGCAACTTTTTTATGTGTCATAAATTAATATTTAATTTCCAAACTCATACTTCCTCTGTTAAAAATTATAAAATATTTTTTTAAAAATTAAATGTTTAAAAATGTAAGGTATTTTTAGTCATTATTTTTTAAAAAGTACCCTTATTGACAATGACTTTATATTTATTGTAGGATATTTAATAGGGATAAATATAAAAAGATAGTATGAGTTTGAAAGTATGTAACTATTTTATTGAGGGTGAGATTCGATTAAAAATACCTTATATTTTTTAATAAAAAGAGTATTAGTTTTGTATAACTGCAATAGAATAGTGATCATCTACTATGTTAAAGTATTAAACAACGTATTTTTTTTGAATTTTATTGATCACCTTGTATAATTTAAAATATAAATTTCTTTTATTTTAAAATATAAAAATACTATAATAATGGCATATATAATAGGAAGAATTTTAGCAAAGAACTCTTATAAGGGTTTAACATTAAATCTGGAGAATTTAAAAATATATTGCAAAACCAAAATATTGAATTGAAACATGTCTTATAAATAAATAAATAAATAAAATTCTTCATACCTTATAAATACTCTCTTTATCTCATTTTAGAATATAGTTATTGAGACAATTTAATATTCAAAAATATAAGATGTTTTAAAGAAAAGTTTCATCAAAGATAACTGTCCCAATATTATCTCTCATGATTTTATTCCTCAAACATATTTATTTCACTCAAATGCTCTTTTATTAATACTGAGTATTTTTAAAAATTTATAAAAAAATAAGATTAGAAACCATTTCAATAAATAAATTTTATTAATATAAGTAATTTTACAAAAAAATTCAATGAATTAAGATGGATGATTAAAAAAATTAGTTAAGTATAATAATTATGTCTAAAATTAAAAATTCTAAATGAAATTATCCATGTAATTAACTAATTATAAAACAAATTTACTTAATAAAAATAAATATTAAGTGAGATAATTTTTAAAAAATATGATAAATATTTTTTGAAATTTTTAATTTTGCTTACAAATAAAAAAATACATGGCAATTTTTTTAATTTTAAAAAAGGGAAGTATGAGTTTTTTTTTAAAAGGACAAGGACGTCATTTGATAGTAAAAGGTCCCTGAATTGTGATTGTGAATTCACATCCTTTCACGCGCGGAGGAGTCGATTGCGTTGAGAATGAGAGGTCGAGACCGGGAAGGAGTAGGGAATTTCCCTCACCAATTTTTCCCTCTCTTCCACATAAAAACACTTCCCCCAAACCCGCAAGCCTCTAAACTCTAAAAGCACATTCTCTATCTCCTGATTGGAGGCTTTTTCGTTTTGTCTATTTTTGCTCACTCACAAGCCTAACAGTAACAGCGACCAAAAACCAACAACAACGAGGCACCCACCCTCGCCTGCTTTGCCCTTCGTATTCCTTAATAAGGAAAGAAATTTCACCAACGACATCTCTCCTTCTCAAGTCGCCCTTATCCGCTTTCTCTATTTCCTTTCATCCATCCAAGTTTCTTCCTCCTGTCTCCTCCTCGATCCCCCAACACGCTCCTTCCGTAACTAGGGTTTCTCGTGAGTTTCTTAGCTAAATTTGGCTATATGCCTGCAGTTTTACCTCACCTTCTGTCCCTCTCCTATTAGGCCTGCACTTTTGCTTTTGCTTCACTCAAGGATATACCACAAGCTGCTTCTGTAGTCAATTCTTCCTTCAACCTTGGCCAATTCTTCCTTCAACCTTGGCCTTTGCTTTCTTCCTATTGTCTCTACTCTTTTAGGTGGGCTTCTTCTTCCGCTCTATGTTGGTTCGTTCCTTGTCTCGTTACTCTCTCTTGATACTGAAACTGTTTTCGGTTTTCCTTTTTTTTTTTGTTTTCCCTTGCAAGTTTTGCTGGTGAGAATAAGGGGAATCTAATGGCGCGGGAGAAGATTCAGATTAAGAAGATCGACAACGCTGCGGCAAGGCAAGTGACGTTCTCCAAGCGACGCAGGGGGCTCTTCAAAAAAGCTGAGGAGCTTTCTGTCCTCTGTGACGCAGATGTTGGCCTCATAGTCTTCTCCTCAACTGGAAAGCTTTCTGAGTACTCCAGCACAAGGTGTCTCTCTCTCTCTCTCTCTCTCCCCCCCCCCTCTCTCCCTAGCGTTTTTCTTGCAAAGCATGTCTCGAGATTGTTGGGTTTCGTTGCTTGGCTATTCGCATTGCCGGTAGTTTGTTTTTGTTGGTAATGTCTCGAGTTTCCGATAACCATAAGTTCGACCCTACATTAACAGAAGCAATATAGCCATCACCATCCCTAACTGGAGAGAGAGGGGGAAAAAAAGAAGTGCGTTAATTTTTAAACGTTTGCGTGGAAGACGATGTATTATACCATGAACCTTAGATTTTTGATTTAATATGTTCGGCAAACAAAACTGGAAAATGAGGTGTCCTGAAGCTACAAACTATATGGCAAATCTGATGTTGGTGAACCCTTGAAGATTTTAGTTTGGGGTCTTGAGTTGGAACGCCAGTACAAAGAAGCTATATAAGATCGCAGGTCTAAGAAGGTTGTAAAATATTTATGTTATAAATACTTCTGAGTTCTGAAACATCTTGGTGCAATTATTTATTACACGCGATACTAGTTTCGGTCGTATTTGATTTCAACTTTTTTCTAGTTCATTGTATGGCGTCGTACATTTTTCTGCTGATTTGATGTTTTTTACACACGTTGATGGTCGCGGCTGGATGAAGAAAGAACATGACATTAATATCTGAGCATAATAATACATATTCGCAACCAGCCAAACAAGAGCTTGCCAGACAATATTCATAGAGCGTAGATAGCGAGGAAGCAACCAGAATTATATAACTTGTTAAGCTAATAAAGAAGCCTAACTTTGATTAGGCCATTATTTGAGCCAAAAAAAAAAAATGAGGTTCGTTATGATATTTACAATAGGGGGAACTTTAATCACTTAGTTGAGAGACATATGCCTACGTTTCTTGTTTGATACATTTAGAAGGTACACAATGATGCTTCGCTTTCATTTTAATCTTCCTTTAGTGGTACTTATGTTCGGTAGCAAAAAATAATTAGTGGTGGTCGAACGAAAGTTGCTATAGCTCAGCCATCTGCAATAATAATTGAACTTGGCTACCTTTACTCCTCTCCTTTTTGCCTACTTGTTCGTGGTCCTGATAGAATATCGATGGATCATCTACAGTGGATAGCAGTTGCCCGCATTTTTATCAAGTGATTAGAATCCTGAAAGCCATTCAAAGGGAAGATTTTCTGACTGAAACATTGAAAAATGTGATTATAAATATAGTGGGAAAGCTTGATGTGCAGTGCCCTTGTAGTAATGCATTATTAGCATCCATCACGTCTGCAGAAGAAGCAATTCACGGCCATTTTTTTTAAACATTTTATTTATTTTAATGCATGTCAGTAGAGGTTTGAATCTGCACCTACAGATTATCTTCAGACCCTACGGACAGATCTGACGTGACCAAATGGCTTGCATTTCAGCACTTCCAAATATGCATGATCTTAGCTATAATTCAGTTGAGTTTGTCATTATGTCATGTAACCCTATTATTCGTTTGACTAATATATTTGTTCCGAATTATAAATTTATAATTGATATCCAATTTGCTTGTGTTCCACTTGGTTTGCCATCGTTTTGCACCAAACACTCCCTTGCCTTAAGTGATTATGCTTGAGTACTCCCGGAATTTCCCGCTGCCTCAGCGTACATTTTGAAGCCACTTGAATCATTTATGGCAGATATTAAGTGATAAATTTATGAAAAGAAATGTCTGCTCATGTTAGGAGGGGGCAGTAGACGAAGGGAATATGATTTGGAGAGCTGAATTCAGCGGAATGCGAGGAGGGGAGGAGAATGGGGCATTACTGGCGTAGATCTTAAGTTGTTCAAAATGTTGAAACGAATCTTATGGCACTGATTCAATGTCTAGATGGAGTATAAGTAACAGTAAAAATACGTATCAAAGAGAGGTTCGGGTTAGCGGTGGAGGGAAGAAATTATAATAATTACACATACCTCGTGTAATTCAGTTAGAAGAGCCTATGTATCCATGACTGGGTATTCTAAATGGAAAGCATGAATTTCGATGTCTGTTCTCCGTTTTTTGTTTTCGCAGTAGAAATGTAAATCTATATATTTCCATCATGTCAAGGCGTCTTAGAGTAGTGTCTACTGTTCTTTTGACGCCTCTTGGTTTTGTGCAAGTGGAACCTTAGTCAACATGCACCTATGATTTGTCTTCTAACATGGGCACATCCCAGAATGTGACTATGATTATTTGTCTTTTGAAGCATGAAGGAAATGCTCGAAAGGTATCATTTGCACTCGAAGAACATATCACACCAAGAACAACCGTCTCTTGAATTGCAGGTCCGTGTTCTGTGCTCTTATATATATGTTTCGTGCCTGCAAAATATAATAATAGAAATTCGGGTTTGTGCAAAAATGTAATCGTTAAAATGGAGAGATCAACTTCACGTTTGCATAGGTTATTATCTTTTTTTTTTAAATTATAATTGAAGATGCATTATTGTCCTTCATTAATTGACCTTTTCATGTCTATTTTAACAACTCAGCTATGGGTTTCCTGCGTTCAATTCAAACTATAAGCTATATGGTTGTACCAAATTCTGACATATTTCTGAACTTTTTGTTAGATCCGTTTCGTTAGAAAATATTTTTTCCTCATATTTTCTGCTGAACCAAATGCTACTTAATATTATTAAGGATTATTTGTCTCTCGGTATATAGTTAAGATTTTGTCTCAATCAAGTGGTGGGTTCGATAAAAGGGGATAGTTTCACCTTCATGGTTATTTATGATGGTAAAAAAAGAACCTTGAGGTTACCATAACTGGCGGAGAAAATGAAAAACGGCAAAATGAGCAGAAGGAAAATATATAGGAACTGATTTGGTCGTCATATAAACTCCTGTTCTGAAGGGCTTTTGATTTATGCTCCCTTTTATTTTCCTGCTTAAAGAGTGCTGTGTTGTTTTGTAGCTAGTTGAGGACAGCAACCGCGCCAACTTGAGCAAGGAAGTTGCTGAGAAGAGCCGTCAACTAAGGTATATTCTCTCAGTTCCTTGAAGTAATTTCTTTGTCTTGGTAATTGAGATTAAAATGTAATGCGAAACGTGTAGACAGATGAGAGGAGAAGATCTGCAGGGTTTAGATATCCAGGAATTACAGCAACTAGAGAGGTCTCTCGAATCTGGATTGGGCCGTGTAATAGAAAAGAAGGTCTCTTACTTCATCCTGCATTGTCCTCCTTAAATCATTGCCTTAATGGTAAATTTAAGCTAAATCTTAAATGATTAATCTCAGGAAGAGAAGATAATTACTGAGATCAGTGATCTCCAGAGAAAGGTTAGTAACCGGTGATTATATGAAGTCTGTTACTGGTCACTTTTTTTTTTTCTTTTTTGGGCCAAGGGGCTGTTGTTGGTCTTTTGTTACTTGTTTGGTGTTTTATTTATTTCAATATGTGAGCTTATGTGTTAACCCTGAAACTCAGGGAATCGAGTTGATGGAAGAGAACGAGCTGTTGAAGCTTCAAGTATGAAATCCTTCTCTGGTCACTCATCATTCTTGCTTTATGGAGAGACTTGTGCTTGAGTTTCTCTTTATCTTCTGCCGTTAAATCTGGTTTGTGCAATTTCTAACAACAATGCCTGTTGCTATGCTGGATCCAAGGTGGCAAAATTATCTGATGGCAATAGGCAAGGTGGTACTGAGTCCGACATCCTCACTAACGAGGAAGGCCAGTCATCGGAATCTGTCACTATCATCTGCAACTCCGCTGGACCTCCTCAAGACTCTGACAGCTCAGACACATCGCTCAAGCTGGGGTGAGTTCATTCCTATCCTACCGCAAAATTTCTCTTGAGAAATCGTTGTCTGCCGGGATGGGACTGCAAAGAACAAGTAAAGTTGATGTGTTAAAAATATAACAATATTCGTCGAAAGATTTATTATACTGAATTTAGTTATTATAATCTCACCATTTCATTCATTTAAGGCTGGGTACATGTTCACTAGGGTTTTGGAGGAGAGGGGGAGGTGAGTTTCTAACGAATTATTTTTAAAAAAATGATAAATGAAATTATGAAAATTTAATAAAGAGAATATGTAAATTTTAAGAGGAAGGAAAAATTGATTGACATTTTTTAATCAAACTCCTATTTTTTTAATATCATAGTAATTATAATCTCCCTTCCAAAACGTTGAAACTAAACAGTCATTAGAATTTATTCTTCGAGCTTGGACTATCAGCTTAGACTGCTAACAAACTACTATAATAAATTGCTTTGCAGGTTACCATATGCTGGCTGAACGGAATGTGTAGGAGATATCCTCATATGATAAAACAAGAGAAGGAAGGACATAGTGTACATTTCGAAATATGGAGCTGTACTAGTAATAAATGAATTCCATCAACTCAGAACTTGTTAATATCACAGCGAAAGTCAAAAGAAAAAAAAAAATCTAATTCCACTATATTCGTCTTTGAAAAAAATACAATAATTGGTCTCTACATTTCGAAAACACAGAAAAAATTTTAAGAATTAAAAGTAAAATCTGGTAAAATTATATGGGTTAATGAGTGCGTTTTCCTACATCTTTTATTCCGTGATTATTACCGAAAATGTTAAAAAGTAAATTTGGGATGCTAGGGGTCTCCGTTACATATTCCTCTCAAGTCATGCCCTGTTCGCTAGTACGTGAAATTCCCAGGTTCCCGCCATATAGATAAAAAGGAAAATTTATATAAGGAGATGCAATCTTAAAGAATAATTTAATTTTGACGGATGTAATATCATTATCAATTATCATTGGATATCAGTCAGTATATTATCGACCGTCATCAATATTAATTGAGACATTAATGGATACGAATGTCAGTCAAATTCTTTATAAGTATAGACTGTAGTAAGTGGCAGCATTCATTTCAACTATTTATAGTATACTTTTTCTAGTCTTAAACATAAGATTTCTGGCCAAGTAATTCATGAAGACTAAGAAAGATTGGCTATGTTTACTGAGAAAGATTGAGTATGTTTACTATTTGTCATTATTGTTAGAGATGCGAAAATATTGGATGAGGGAGAACCAAGATAGAGAATCTATATTTAGAAGAAAAGCAAAATTTTCAATTAGGTTTTCTATTCAGGACGCCATAGGAGCACTACCTTCATCGATGTTCCCCCAATTTGGTTAATAGATGTAGAAGTTTTATCACGTTGGCAAATTGGTTTAAACTAATTTGATGGAAAGACAAATCTAGTGCATGCCTAAATCAACAAATCAACAAACTTGAATCTCTTAGATGCCAATACTGAAAAGGTCCATAGATGTATTTTTGTGCATATGATATCAATTATCAGCCATAAAGATCATTAAATACGAAAATGTGGTGTCCTAATAATGAATTTGTATGTGCGTGTGGATATGCATTAGATTGGCGGGAGTACTTGAAACCGTTTAAAAGAAAAGGAGCATTATAACTTTTCATTTTGTTAACATAAATATTTGATTTCTTTTGGTCCATTTCTCTTGTTCGGCTGTGTAAAATTTCCACGAGGGCTTTTCCCCTCTAGATTGTGGGATATATTTGGAAGGGGGGAGTGGTTTCTTTTGTCCTTTCCTGACTCCCTTTAGTTTATGTTGAAAAAACAAAACTACTCTGCAATGCTTATTCCTCTATCTAGACTTTTTTTAAAAAAAAAAATAAATAAAAGATCAACTTAAAGTATTAACAATTAAATTATTCAAATACAGTTATATAGTTAAAAAATCAAGGAGAAAGACTAAAATTAGTCATCTTGTAAGACATTAATATCAAAGAACTTGAAATTGGAGAGGAGATTGGAAATATCCACAACTATTAGACGTGTTCAGTGCTCTTACTCATTGCTTCGTCGGTGTCTTCGTCCTCTCCCTCTCCGGCGGTGTGCTCCACCGTCTCTCGCCGCAGTTCAGGATATTCATATAATGTATTCGGAGACACCCATACAAAAATCATTGAATCTGCATAATCTATATATACAATCTATTCACAAGAATCTATATATATATAAATGCGTCCTTCAGATTCCACGTTCTCTCATTCATTTCTTTCCTTATCAGATGGACCCAGCAAATCCTCTTTGGGAATTTCTCGTTGTAGTAGGAAAAAAATAAATTTTATATTCAATACTTCTTTCTTTTGGCTTGTTTTTGCTCTGGACCACGGCATCCAATAAGTGCCAACATCGAGACTTCTTTTTCTTTTTTTTTTTCTTTTTTTTTGTTTACCCTCTAGAATATTTATCATATACAATTATATCGAGGGAGAGTAATAATTAAATCCAAAAGAATAAATTAATGTTAGTTAGGTTTTTGATAAAAAAAAATTAAAAGCTAAATTATAAATATTGATTTAAATAATTATAAATTCAGGAATTACAATTATATATGAGACATTTAAATTCTCAACATAATTCTTACTTTGCATTTAAAGTTCAAAATTTTTATTTATAATTGTTTGAATTAATATTTACAATTCATTTTTGAGAAAAAAATTAATAAAATGTGTCATTAAGTTTTGAATTTTTGGGAGTTTATTACCATTCCCCCTTAGTTTTTTTTTTCATTTTGCTTCTACTATAATTTTGAATCATTCAAATCAAATTTTCACACAGCAATTATTTTATACTTTGAAAAACTTCCAAATTTGAACCGACATATTCAATCTAACAATCAATAAAATACAGTGGTCTCTCCACTATGAAGTAAAGCTACTTCTATGATTTCCCAAAATTTCCTGTCGAAAATGTTGTTCGCACTAAATGACTGAAAACACAATAATTTGATAAACTTTTTTCCTATGTTGATTTTTTTTTTTCATCAAGTACATGGATTATCAAGAAGATCATACATTCTATGGAAATGAAATTGAAACCAAATAAAGGCACTCTCATGGTTGACCAATGACTAATAAAGACTTGACCTTGTCAGATTTACTCCCTTTTTGACTTTGAGAGGGCTTTCTTCCTCTGTGCAAGCATGTATCTATACATGTGAGGACTACCTGCATAAAATGAAGCCACCCGATCAGTTGCAACTTACATGGGGAAATTACAAATCAGCCAAATGATTTTTATTAGTTAGATGCTGGATTCGTGCCTGGAACGTAGATTCCTAATGCAACAATTGCAGCATAGAAGTAATCGAAAGAGAAGTTCCATTTGTTGGGCATCCTCACGCAATACTTGTCAGAATTCTGCAAAATACTCCTTCTCATTAACTTGAATTCCATAATCATAACATAAGAAACCACCAAATCAGAGTTACAGCAACCAATAAGCATTATAAGAACAAGAAAACGATCAATCAAAATAAGCCATGAAGATAAAGACAACAGATAACCAGCGGACCTAGACCATCCACTAATAAACTTGTGAACTTGGCTTTCTAAATTCTTTACCTTAATAAATGGCAAGGCAATGTATATTAGACCAACTTCACTACTGATGCCGGTTGGATACAGCAACAAGAAGGTGCTGTATCTGCAAGACAAAGATTGATGATGTAGTCAATATAATGCAACATAGGACTTGCTCATACTCATAACTACATTCTATCAAGCAGGCACAAAATTAAACTCTATATATACCTGAGCCACAGTAGCCATGAAGGGGCAAAACCAAATGCTTCTTTCAAGCCAAAGAAAGAATAACGGATTATCTGCAGTTATAACAACCAAAAAGTAATCAATATTGATATTCCTTAGGCCTTCCCATAGAAAACAAAGATATCCGGTCACCATAAGAGCGGGAATCACAGGATAAGTGGGGCCACCAAACAGTTTTTGATTTCGTGATACACACAGGATTTATGCAATCAAATCCATGGAATGGCATCTTATGTAAGGCAGGGATACTTCAGAAAAATTTGATGATCACTATGAATTTGACTTTCAAGGTCATGATTAAGAGAGAACAGCAATATGAGAATATATCTGCATTTCTGGACGTGACAATTGATCTCCTCTTATCATATTTGCTTTGTTTCTTTAAACTTTTTTGGCCACATATTTGTTTGTTAAATATAGCACGAATTTATCAAACTATACAACAAGAAATTTCATAAGTCTCTTGGGCCTATAGCTATTGTTAGAGGCTTTCTTCAAGAAGGAAAAAGATATGAAAGGTTCTGACTTGTCAATTGAATTCAGAGAAAACATACACAAACACATATCCTATGCTTTCCTTGGACTTTAACAGTCAGCTCGTATAAGGAGAATTAACCCCATACACCAGTCATTTTCTCACATATAAGTAATTGAGTACTGCCAAGCATAATCATAGTTAATAGCAGGTAGCAATAAATTTTAGAGTTTGTAACTTCCTTTCCATCTGGCATGATAGTGGAAATTATGAACCACACAAATAACTAATAGAGCAAAAGCAAACCATCAAATACCATTAAAAAAAAAAAAAAAAACAGTTACCATCCTAAGGCTGTAAGTAGACGCATTTTTTTATATGGTAAAATAAAAAAGACAGACCACAAACACAGATTGTGTGTGTATAACTTAAAGTTGCAATCATGATACACATACCTCTGTGAGAGACCAGCTGATTAACAGGGAAGTAACCAGTATATGATTTCGAGTCTGCAATTATCATCATGCAGTTAATGTTAAACAACAGTATATGGCTGAAAGTTGAACAAATGATTAGTTTAAAATGGTTAAATTTGCACTAACCTCAGGGAAACTATATAAGATGCCCCAAACTAGGTACAACCTTGAGCCTATCTGTGGCAAGGTTGCTGAAACGGGAGAACGAACCAGCCCTTCACCGTTGACAAAATAGAAATCCATTAACAAAGTGACACTCAAAGTAAATCCCTGTCTTCATTAAACTACGATAATCAGAATTGACAACACACTACTCACCTAATAAACCATGAAGAATCTATCACGCCAAGCAATTCAACGTCGCACCCAAAGAAGAGGAAAGAGAGAGAAATGAAGGTCAAGTTTATTGTCGTAAAGAAATTCAACATTTGCCGAGGAAACAAACAGATAGGTATGTCCACAGCTAAGAAAATTTAGTTCTTCTCCGCAAAATACCTCTGACACAGCAGCGGTTTGAGCAAAAAGCAAAGGCTTTTCAGCCGCATCGTAAACATGTTCATGACCTGATTCCTTCAATGTCTTCAAAACTAGATACAAAACTTGAACCCTGCGCGAAATTGGGAGAGTTAAGTACTTTCTAAAGAAATGAGACAACGGGACAGATCTGTGGGAAAGAGAAAATAGGGATCGATACCATCCAAAGCAAACGGTCCAGTTATAAACGGATAGATAGAGGCGCCTGAGAACAGAGAAAAAACCCGCCATTGAAGAGAGTGATGATTGACAACAGTAGTAGAATTACAAGTACTCGAGATCTGTATCTGGATGGGAGACAGATAGAAGAGCAATTCTACAAATAGGCAATGAATGTTAAAATTGATGATTTAATAATTGTTGGGAGAAAAAAGCTGGTTTCTGGTTGCTGAATTAAAAGGGTCTAGTTGGGCAGCTCAACGACCCAACTACTCGACGGCCACTGGCTTCGACGCCGGAGTAACAAAAAACAAAAGACAAAAAACAAAAAACAAAAAAAAAGAAGAAGAAGAAGAAGTTTCCTTTTTATTTTTAATGATTCTCAATAATATGTAGCTAGTTTTTTAACATTCGTAGCAAATGTGTGAATTGATTATTTTATAAAACTCCAACCAATAATTTATATGTTTATTTTTTTATACCTGCTTGATTGTTGTAATTTTTTATATGTTGATATAACTCATTTTATCAATTAACATAATTTATTCATGACCTTTAGCTCAAAAAAAAAAAAGGTTGTGTATTCCTTCTATTTTATATATAAAATATTTTTAATTGAATCAAGTAAATTAATAAAAATTAATTATTTAATTCAAAGTACATTAATATTTTAGTTTTGTTTTTAATTACTGTAAATAAAAAATAAATTTATTTTTTAAAGTAATTATTTTTTTTAATTTAATAAAGATGTAATTCATTCATTAAAAAAATATGTTAAAAATTTTTTATATTTAAAGATAAAAATGATTTTAAAAATCTCGAAGGGAGTATTGAATAATTTCAGGTAAAAAAAAAAATTGCATTGTACTAATGACAAACTCTGAGGGATCCCTAAGTGCTTTCAAAAGATTTTTATATTTGGTGGGTATTAATTATTTTTTAAATATTATTTTTATTTAAATTCATTAATCATGAAAGAATCTGTGATGTAAATTTAAAATTTTTTTATTTAAATATAAATAAAATTAAAAGTGTACTCCTCTAATCCTATGTATAGGATGAAAAAAATTAATATTATCCTATTTATAAAATATTTCAATTATTATTGTATTTATTTTTATTTTTTTATCCCTATTCAGGCTTGTTGTAAAGTTAGAGTTTGCCAAAATACTTCCTACCAAAAAAATTAACCACTGTTATATACATGTGACTCAAAATATTTAATTAAGAGAAACCAATTCATAACCCGTTGATCCAAATGGTTTTTTTTTTTTTTTTTTTTTGAGCAAACCGTGGATCCAAATGTTGAACGATACAACTTTCCCTTTTGAAAAAGTGTATTAGTCGTCGCTCACTGCTGACTGGGCTAGTAGATCTTTGGCACGTAAAATCGGAAAAGATAAATATATATGAATCAAAGTAAAAAAATAAACGAACTACTCCCTTAAACTATAATGTAAAACATCTTTTAAAATTCTTATTCAGTTTAAAATATAAAACATATAATAATTTTTATAATTATTTTTTAACTATATATCTACTTTATTTATTATTTTTTTTAAAAAATAATATATTAAAATTTTAATTATCATTATTAAAGCACTTATATAGAGTATATATTTTTTAAAAAAATTAAGATTTCAATTAAAATTTTTTTGATAATAGTGAATTAGTTATCACTGTCTTATATTTTGATATGAAGGGAATACATATCAAAATACTCCCTTCGTTTCTATTTGTAAAAAAAAAAAACAGAACTGTGTTACAAAATTTAAAAAAATTAATTAACTACATTAATTATGTTTGAAAATAAAAAAGTAGATTAAAATATCCTTTATTATTGTGTTAATTAAATTTTCATTAATCAGTATTTCTTATAATTATGAATGATAAAACTATGAAAGATAATTTTAAAAATTTATCATAAATATTTATTAAAAAAGTTATTTTACTTATATAAAAAATAAACTAAAAATGATAATATCTCCTATAAATAAAAACTATGATTGTCGAGATTCCAGTACAGGAAAAAAGCATTTTAAGCACATTTAATAGTTAAACAACTAGTTATAAATTAAACACACTTCAAAGTTCAAACTCCATGCTGGCGGGCGTATTATTATTTATTTACCCAAAAAACAGGTATGCATGGACTGCATAGGTAGACCATGTGGCCCGAAAACGATGGTAACCTAGCAAACACGTGTGTGTGTGTGTGTGCAGATCATGTGGCCTGCATCAGATTGCGGGATCAAATTTTCAACAATATTGGCCTCTTGTATATATGGGGGAAAAATATTGGCCTTAAATATATTTTCGGTCCAGTAATTTATTAGCTGACCACTGGTCCCAAAAAAAAAAAAATATATATATATATATATATATAAGCTGACAAACGTTATCCTTTGCGCATATATTTTTAAATAATCAAATTCAGTCTCTATCATACAATGTAGAAGTTAACACTTAGTTTATTCATTTGTTGTCTTAATCAATAATTTATTTACTTGGTAACTTAGATTTGATATCTAAATCAATAATTGTTAGATTTAACATTAAATTTGTATTAACAACTAGACAGGAGGAGAATTTGAATGCTTTAAAATATATATATGTATGTATGTATGTATGTATGTATTTGTAGATAGATAGATACAAACGCTTAATATAGTTTTTTGGATTGAAAGCGGATCATGATCCATGCACTCGAAGTAAATCAAAGTTGGACCAGAAAATGTAAGCCACATGGAGCCCATATTTGCCCATTCTTTAGTTCTAGCTTCGTCTTTGATTAGGTCATGCAATAAGTTGGCAATAGCTCCAGGCCCAAAACATGTTGGCAATAACTGTTGCCAAAAGAAAATAAAAAACATGGTGGCAATGAACCGATTACTCTATCTTTTCTTTTCTTTTTCACAAAAATTGTCAATGAAAGCGTACAGGTATTCTACTTTTTGTTCTTTCAATAGCTATTTTGCTTAATCCCCCATGTATTCCAAGGCACAAGTATCAAATACAAATACATTTATGCTATATTTAGGATATATATGAATTTAAATTTGAATTTGAATCAAATCTCTTATCGAATTACTTAAAAATTTATGAATTTGAAATTACTTGTATGTATGGAAATTTGAAATATATGTATTTTAAATGTGAGATTTTAAATACAAAATTCACTTATCCAAACACCATTTTAAAGAAATTTTTTTTAGCCAATAGAGACTAGATACTATTACTAAAAGCAAAAGCAGAGATATAGAAGTGCAATAAAAACAGAACAAGTTTGAAAGAGAACAAAATTAATGAAACAAATGGAACAAAAGCAAAGAAAACACTTAGCCATCAACATTCTAAATAGCTGGAGGTGTTAGGTCCATTGCAAAAGAGGGAGAGCTCTTTCACATCCATTGCTAGAATAAGAGATAAAGAAAGTGATGGTGTTTTCACCTACCCTATCAAATTTATAGTCTTATAAGCAAAAGCGGTGAGGTGATCAGCTATAAAGTTACCTTTGCAACGAACAAAGAAAATAAAAAACCTAGTATTACATGCTAAGAGAGCCATGATGTCTTCAACAATACCTCTGCACATCCAATCACTCACATTGGTTAGCTTTTTAAAGACAAGTGATAAGAGTAAGGTAGTCACTCTCAAAAATAATTTTTGCATTATTTAAATTTTGAGCCAACATGAGAGCTCAATAGCGAGCAAGAGCCTTAGACATGAAAGCAGAAATTGACTTAATTTTATCAGCAAAGCCCCGAACAAAATTGCCCTTATTATTATGACAAACAACACCAATTGAAGCATGCATGCCTATATATAGGTGAAGATCTTGAACATGAACGTTGGGCATTCAATCACCAAAATAAAGGACCATTAAGCCTTAATTACGCACTCATAGACTAGCATAAATCCTCAGTTACACACACATAACTCCTAGAGCTGTTGGGGGAAAACATATAATGGATTTGATTAATATAAATCCACTTAATAATCTGTTAAAAGGCTAAAATAGTTGAGGTTCAAATTTAAATTTGAATCAGTCAAAAAATAAGGTTTTCTAATAAGCTCACTTAAATAAATAATTATTTATTTTTTGCAAAAATAATCTAGTAAAAGGAATCAATATCTCTTGAACTCGCACGTAAGGGGCGAATCCACTGTTTTCAATTACAATTGCTCTAAGTTAGCTTATTTTGTGCATGCAAGTCTACTTCTCCTCCAAACTTATTTTACTAACCCATTTCATTTTTTTAGTATTTATATACTAGAAGCCCTTTCATTTAGGCATATTTCTTTTGACACACACACATTTACGACAATAATTTCTACTTTCAATAATGGTCGCTTTTACAACCTTTCTTCCAATTAATGGCCATCAGCTTAGATTTTAATTAATGGAATTGCTATTTGAGCAAAAAAGGAAAGAGAATTTAGAGAAAGTACATTCCATCACGCAAGACTGCAAGAGTGAAAAAGAAAAAAAAAATACTCCTTTAGTCAACATTATAAGTTTTTTAATATCATACTAAAAAATATAAGACATTTTAGATCTTTTAATTTATAATTAATAAGATTTTTCTCAAAAAAATTTAATCAAAGTTGTAATTACTGATTAATAATAAGGTTTTTTTTAATTGAGACACTTCATTAAATATAAATAAATATAAATAGATAGCATAAATTTAAAAATAATTAACTAACTCATTTTTTGAGGTAATAGAAAAACATATACTTCTTTCGTCTTAAATTATAAGTCACTTTTAAATAAAATCTCATATATTAATAAACCTTATGAAATATACTTAACAATCTTATCTTTTTAAAATAAAAAAATAAAATTTTAAAAATACTTATTATTTAATACATTGAAAAAAAGATAAAAATTAATTATATAAAAAAATAATATTAAAATTAATGTATTTAATAAAATTTTAATTTACTTAAAATATTTATTTTAGGGTTGAGAAATTTTTTCAAAATATAAAGAAGGAGCACTAGAGCAGTGTGATATTACATCGTTTTCTGAGCTAACAGCACGCTGCTTCACGCATTAATTTTGAAGCCAAAATCTGTTTGGCCCTTGGGATTGATGAGGACAAAAAAGAAGAAAGAAAGGATAAATAGAAATATAGAATGGAAATGATTTGAGGAGGCTGAGGTTGGTAAGGACAATCAAATGCCGCTATTTACTGCATCTTCCCACCACCAAACAGACATATAACAACATCCTGTCTCCTGCTCACCTTCACTCTGCAATTTTAAATGTAGGAGTTTGACAATTTATTCATAAAGATTAAAAAA